GGCGGGAGGTGAATGGGGGTGGGGTGGTAACGTACACGGCCAAGCCCCACCACTTGGCCATGTACGTCACAGCCCCGCCCCCCTTCCACTCCTGCCGTGGTGCTCGGCTGACTTCTGCACCGCTCAGCCAGGCTGCCATGGGGGAGCAAGCGGCTCAAGCGGCCGTTTGGGCCCCGCGCTCCCCATGAAGCACGGGTCACCCAGAGGGAACAGCCAGCATTTCAGCAACAGCGCCGCCCAGAGGGAACAGCCAGCATGTCAGGCAACAGCACCGCCCAGAGGGAACAGCCAGCATTTCAGCGTTACAGAGTCACAAACATTGGGCTACTATATATATGATAAGTTATTTTAAAATAATTTCCTAATGTGGACATGTCCTTACTATTTAAGAAGATGCTTTAAAGCATTTTAAAAAATATATAACTTCTTTTAAAAGCTTCCTTAATTAATAGCCACTTTAATTTATTAACTGCGTCTTTACCATGCAGAGTTTAATAGAAGCTATCCTTGTTTACTAACCATATACAATCTGTGCAGGAAATCTATGTTATTTCTGGAACTGCCATTCACTAAAAATCCAAGCCAGAAGTAAGTAAATTTAAGAGGAGCCAGATCTTCTCTACAAAGATATACAGTACCAGAAGGGAACAGGGATTTTGTGGAAGATACTATGTGCATTTTATATTTATATATAGATATATATAAATATATAAAAATAATCATACAACTGATGCAGTTAGTTCTTGCTTTAAAAGAGTGTGTAAAACAAATGTCATGACAGTCGCCATTGTTGATACAGTAGGTGTCAGAGCAGAGTTTACACTTTGTACATATCCTGCTTTTTCCAGTATTTTCCTTTCCATATTTCTTATACCTGTGAAATACAAAAAATGTAAAATAGTGTAACATAAAAAATAAGCTAAAACAGAGCTAACATTTTCAAGAGACCATTCTAAACAGCAAAGGCTTTCCATATACTGAGCCTGTATTTGGGAGACATTGATAGCAATTGAAGTGCATGCACCAAAGACAAATTTATGGCCCTACAGTTCATAGCTTTTGTTACCACCATTGTGCTATTTAAATATTGTTACTGCCTCTATTTTTCTTATTAAGGAAAAAAATCTTAGAATTAAGCAAAAGCCAGTATGACTGCCTCACATAGACGCTTTTTTAGTCATTGTATAAATTGATTTTTATTTTGTAACTTCAGTAGTGACCAGGAGATTATTTATTTTTTAATTGATTTAAATTTTTGTTATAGTTGTGTAAAAGTATTTTTTAATTTTTAAGCATTTAAAAAAAAATTTAATCACATTTAAATTTTCACTGTTGCAGAAAATTGGGAGGGCTATTGAACAGTAATTAATGACAGTGCTTCAAAAAATTAAAGCTTTTTAACCACTGAAACATGAACAGTCAACATCATATATCATAATACAAAAAATAAATATCCCTAAATGAAGGAGAATTTTTCTTTTTTTGCCTGTCTATAAATTTCAGTTATTATTGATAGAAATATTTTTGTTGGTTTGTGAGTGTAAGATAAAATTAACATTTCCCAATAAAAATCAAATCCTTCCAAGGCTGTATATTTTAGACCTTTTAAAAGCATTAAATGATGGGTAATCAGTAAATAAACTCATATGTTTGCACTTAGATTCAGCTAAACATATTGATTTTAAACAGCTCCTTTTTCATTACTATATTTACCTTCCAAAACCTTTTAAAAGTATTTTTGTGTAAATACTTTATTTCCACATTAACTCCAAAATTCTGGAGGAAGTCTTTGTGAGGGTTACATTGACGATAGCATGGGTTGTGATGAACAGGACAATGGGCTTGCTTTTGTATTGGTTCAGAACCCCAGTTTTTGCTTTGAATTTTGGGTTTGTGTGAAAATGCAAACTTAACGCAGAAAAGGGAAGGGAAAACAAACAAAAATACGTCTCACAGTGAGTTGCACTGAAATTTACCAAAGTACATCACATCAGTAACTCTTTCCTCCCAATATACCTGGCCCTCTCTTCACTGGTCTGGAATCCATCCACTCCCTTGCAAAGGTATCCCATCACTTACCTTTTGCAACCTTGAGGGGGAGCTACTTTGCCTACTCTCCCTTATGAGAAGCCTTTAGAGGGCTGCTTCTCTCCCATTCAGAGTAAGAATCTTCTTGGGCAATGGGAAGCCTGTTTTCTTTGTTCCCTTCTCTGCATCTCACTTTGTCCAATGTTCTATTTTTGTGTTCCAATGTATCTCTCTCTGTACCACCCATTCAAAGGTTAGGAGCCTGGAACCTTTTATAAGAACAACACCTCACTTCATTGCTGGCCTTCTAAGACTGTTTCTGGAGGACTGATCCCCTTAATGTTCCTCTCTTGACCATCTCTAGGAATAGTTCCTTCTGGTCTAGGATTTCCCTGTTCAGTCTACCCTGGCTACTTCTGTCCATTTCCCCCCGATAAGTTTCCATTTTGCCTCACTCATATGCAGACACTCATCACTTATCTTCCCCTCATCCTCTTGTGACCATACACACAGCTCCACTGAGCTCCAGTGCTCTGATTTCAAGAGCCCGGCATGGAAACAAAATACACCTGCATACATATCTGCAGAAATGAGCAGTGGATATCCACATCCGTGGATGTAATTACCTGTGGCTATAAAGCAGATATTTGCATTTGCAGGACTCTACTGATTTCCCTGTCTGAGTCCCTGAACAGAATAATGGAAATTCGGGCATAGGCTCTACATAGTAAGGGTATGTCTACACTAGCCCCCTAGTTCGAACTAGGGAAGCTAATGAGGGTGACTGAAGTTGCTAATGAAGCACGGGATTTAAATACCCCGTGCTTGATTAGCATAATCCCGGCCGGTCGCCATTTTGGAAACTGACTAGCCCGAAGTAACTGCCTAGTCTATATGCGCCAGAGAAGCGGGATTCTGAGATAAACCCCTTAGTTCGAATTAACTGTTACTCCTTGTGGACTAAGGTTTAACAGTTAATTTGAACTAAGGGGTTTATCTCAGTATCCCGCTTCTCTGCTGCGTATAGACGTGGGCAGTTACTTTGGGCTAGTCAGTTTCTAAAAGAGCGACCGGCTGGGATTATGCTAATCAAGTGTGGGATATTTAAATCCCGTGCTTCATTAGTAACTTCGGTCGCCCTCATTAGCCTCCCTAGTTCGAACTAGGGGGCTAGTGTACATGTACCCTAAGGGATCTGTGAGGCAGGGATGCCTGGAGAAAGAAAAATATTGCAATACAGGATGCTACAATCCAGGTAAGTGCCCACAGAGCAGGCAAGGACAAACTATTTCCTGTGAAGAGATGCTACCCATATGCACTCTTTAATCGTATTACCCTTTTTATTGCCAAATCACAATCATGTTGTTTCCTTGCTGTCCTTTATCACTATAGATCTCCTAACATTACTGCTTTCCAATTTTGGGTCATTTTTAGCTGATTTTTTTTCTTGTTATTTTCTGCCATATTGCTAATTTTTTAGATTACCTCTGTATTACTACTGTGTTGTGACCACCTCCTGATTTAGTGTTAGTCATTTTGATCAGTGTGTTATTTTCCTCCAGTTCCATATCATGAATGAAAAAATTAACTAGGACAATCTTAACATCTTAACATCTTCCTGGCACCTCATCTTAATGCTGTTTTATCATTCCATTTTTGCTTATGGCATTTCAGTTTCCAATCTAGGTATATGTTCACATCCAAGCCAGTACAAATCAATTTTTTGATCAACATTTCATGAGTCATCCTATTAAATTCCATATTGCATTTTCTACCTTCCTTTATTAGGGGCCCAGTCCTGAGAGGTACCAACTGCTCTTCAACTCCCACTTACGATGGGCGTTGAGGTCATACAGCAACCTTTTGTGACTGAGCCCTTATTTTGTACAGCCAAAAGCAGTAATCAGATTTGTCTGGCAAGATTTTCTGGTTTTCGTAGACAAACTGGAGTGAGTGCAGAGAAAATCAACAACAGTTATTAGGAAGCTAGGGTGAATAATTTATGAGGAAAGAGACTGAATATGAATGGCTTGACTAAGAAGTGACGGTAAGAAGGTTTTACAAGTATTTGAAGAACATAAACAACCAAGAAGAAAATGAGTGGAATTCTTGAGGGTGCTACAGTGGATACAGAGGTCTAAATTGTGCTGACTTTTGGTGGATTCTAGGCTGATGGGGTCATGTTTTTAAAGATATTTAGATATAAAAAGGTAAATATTGGATTAATGAGATTTTCAAAAGCACTGTGGTGCCTAAATCCCATTGACAACACTGGGAATAAGATGCTTTTTGAAAATCCTAATAGTTTTCTATCTGTGTTTTAGGTATCTAAATGCCTTTACAAATCTGGCTTGGTGATCTTAGATCCCACTGAGAGTCAGCAACTGGGAGCCTGCCCAGGTCCGCAAGAGGCGGGCGCCCATCTGGTCTAGTGCAGCCATTGTGGACCTCATCCATGACCTCCACACTAGGCACAGGAAAGTGGCCATCTAGGGCAGGATAGCTGCCAGCCTGGCCACCCAGGAACAGGTTCGAATTAAGTTAGTTCGAACTACGTTAGTTCGAATTAGTGCTGTAGTGTAGACATACCCATACTCTATAAAACACAGAGACTGTGTATTCTCCTCCCAAGACAACCGGATGTGTCCCCCACTCTGGAAGTGAAAAGGGGCCTTAGAAGGGTAGAAGAAATAGTCCCAGAAAATACCCTGAGCATGGGGACAATATCAGCTGTTTTATGTAATCCCTTGCCAGCCTTAGTGGTGGGGATTGCTAAGAGTATGTGTACACTGCAGTCAGGGGTGCACTGCAGCTGTGCTGCTTAAGCTTCACTGCATTTGTTATTCAGGCTAGTTTGGCTATGTCTGATTGCACATGCAGAGTGGATCAGACTATTTTGGGCTACAGATCAGGCCACTAGCAAGCGTATGGAAGCTGCTTTATGTTACAGCAGACACTGCTCCAACTTCTGCAGGGGGCTTCTTGGGTTTCCAGGAATGTAGGGTGCATAAAGTCATCTTGGCACCTTCCCAGAGGCTCTACCTTCTGTCCTGCATTCTAAAAGACGCAGCAGAGAATCTGGCCTTTTGTTGGCAGGAACCGAAAGGTGTAGCATAGATTGTCAAGGAGTCAAGCCAAAAAACAAAAGTAGGAGTGTAGGGGAAGGAGGGAGTCTGCAGTATCTCAACATCCAATCTTGTGATCCCGGGCCTTCCATGTGATAAGTGTTTTCATTTCCCCACTCCTCAGCCATAAGATGGAGCACAGACCATGCTGAGAGAGTTAAGTGATGCTTTAAATTGACTAACTGTCCACAGTTTTTACTGTGGATATTCACACTGTCTTCCCCTTCCTTGCAGATGGTAGAATGCATGGAATTCTGCAGGAGAATGGGAAGGTGACATTATAAAGAGGATATACATCTCATAGAGGTGCTTTACCCCTTCATCCTCATCCACCAAGATTTTTTCCTCAGTCTGCACCCCTTGGCTCTAATCAGTGGAGAACACAGAACAGGAGTTCATGAACATCCATCTTAGACACTGTAAGTGCTTGGTTTTAAGAATACTGAGAGCATGTTAAGTTTCTATAAGTCACTGATATTGTAGAGAAAAAGGCACATTTGCCATTTTATATACTACTTTAAAATAATAACTTTCTATACCTTTGATTGTCTTTGCGAAAGATTTTTCCCAAGCATACATTTTGATCAATTTAATGCAGACTAAAATCTCATTCATTGTTCGCACACGCTTATCAGTCACTGAAATAGCAGCTCGTCTGAATACGGATGTGAGCTTAGCCATGAGCATCTGCAATCAAGATGTAAAATGCTATTAAAAACACAGCCTTAAAATGGAGATGTTTAACAAAAGTGTGCTTTTAAGCAAACCATGTTCAAGTGTGTGTGTTTGTGTGAACTACACAAATAGGCAGTATTGCAGGAGCCAATTGCCACATCTTTTTGAAGTGACAGCATGATTTTGCTGCCTCACTTGCTAGTCTTTATATATTTGAATGTTTCTCTTTATGTACTTCCAAACTCTTTTTTGAATATTCCTGGTTTATATTAATACTCATTGTAATATTCCAATTAATACATTAAAGGCCTAATTCAGAACTCCATTTTTGCAACCTGTAATATATATTGTATAGATTTCTTGTTTCTATTCTGATTTCACTCTTCTAAGATGTGTGTCCCCTAGACTAGAGCTTGTTTCCATATTGCTTGTCAGAGGCTATTAACTTGTCATGTAAAAAACAAGAACAGTGTTCCTATATACCCTACTATTTAAACATGATAAGGGAACAGAGCTTAATATGTAGATTTGACAGTCTAGTATATTGACAGATGCTAATATCATCAAATTAGAAACAAACCAGAAATATACAATATATATTACTGGATGCAAAAAAGGAGACCTGAATGAGGCCTTTAATGCATTCAGTGGAATACTGTAATGAGCACAACAGATGCTGGGAATGTGAATATTCAAAAAAGAGTTTGGAAGCACATGGAAGAAAAGCATTCAAATGTCCAGAGATTAGCTAGTAAGATAGCAATATAATGCTGCCACTTTCAAGGAAGTGGCAACTAGTTCCTGCAATATTACCAGTTGTAGGCATTGCCTATCCATACAGCCCCACGCTGAAAAAAATCCAGCTGCCCCCATATTTAAAGCCCTTTTAGGTAATGGCTTGTGGTTCTGTGTGCCAGCATTATAAGAGATTATTAAGTTTACATTAGATGCTGTTTATGTGCCTGCAAATACTTAATCAATCAAAAACACATTTGATTAATTAAACAATTGAATGACTCATTTTTAAATAGAAACAAAAGACATAGAGCTTCATATAAAAGAAACAAAGGATTATTCCAGAGTTACTGCTTGAAAGGAAAGCTCTTTTAACTATTCTGAATGAAGTTTATTCTTTATTTTAAAAATACAAGCACCAGTGAATATTTAATGACTACATTAATTAAGATATTAGTTGAAATATTTTCAGGTCATATTTTCATATACTCTCTACACTTGCACAAGTTATTGATTGTACCATAGGTACAAAATTGCAGTTACATATGTTAGAATTTTTATTTTAAATTACCAACCCTGACTGTTTTTGAATTATGTTGTCTTTATATCATATTCATTTTCATTTCTCTAAAATTGCTCACAGTATAGCACTAAACTGAAAAGATACTTGTGAGCAGATATTGCAGTGCTATATATCAGAATGAAATCAGAGACGTACTTAATGGAAAATTCAGATATTGGGACAAATTCTGCTTTTATTCCAGAGCAACTGTGAGAATGGAGTTACTTGGGAATTACATAAAAAAGAACTTGGCCCTTTAGACCAGGAATTACATAAAAAAGAACTTGGCCCTTTAGGCCATGTCTACACTACAGAGATCGAAGCTGCTGCAGTTGATCTTCTGGGGTTTGAATTAGCAGGTCTAGTAAAAACAAGCTAATTCGAACTGAGAGGTGCTCCCATTGGCACCCGTAATCCTGCTCCTGCAAGGAGTAAGAGTATGCTTCCATCAACCTTCCTTTGTGTTGATGGTGCCAAAATTCAATTTCAGATACTTTGACTCTAGCTACATAATTAACATAGCTGGAGTTGTGTATCTTAATTCAAGCTTATCCCCTACCGTAGAACTAGCCTTATTGAGTTCTTTGTGATTTAAGGTAAGGATTTTCAAAAGAGCTTGAGGAGCTGAGTACCCAACTCTATATTACATTTCACTGCCTTATATCCTTATATTGAAAACCTCAGTCTTGATTTTAATATTGATCAATGCACATATAAAATGATTAGGAAAATCAATCTCTTTACCTGTATAGGTATAAATATAATATAAACAAATGCTCCTATGAGTGCAGTGGGACCAAGAATAAAACAAGAATATATGATGCAAACAATCAGTAATATAGGCACAGTAATTGGCAGAGGACAAAATAAGGCAGCTTCAAACATTCGATAGCCATCATTGGATAATGTATTAATGACCTGCAAAAATAAAAAGAGTGATGAATAATTTTCCCTTTTATCAAAAATATTTTTGTGATCAAGAGTTTTTAAACCAATAATGTTTTTATAATCCCAGGAGTAAGATTTTCAGGAGACACAATCCATACACTGTTTATTATTGCATCAAGACTTAAATAAACATGCCATTTACATTTACTTGTTTAAGTATTTCACAAAAATAGCTCAGACATTAAAGGTCACCTGGAAGTAATGGAATATGATTATGAAAACTTACCTCACCAACAGAGATATGTGTTAAAGACTTAAATGCTAATAGGTACTCGAAAGCTACTGTAGATAAAGCAACTTTTAATCGTATAGCTGTACGGTAGTTGATGGCCCACGCCAATGCCCAAAATACTACTTTGGAAAATTCAGTAATGAAGAGTGCTATGCAGAGTCCAATTCCCCAAACGATGTCTTTGGAGACACTTTCACTGTGCTGTAGAATTTTATGAATAATCACAGTCTGCAAAGATATTTCAGAATTAATTTTAAAAATTGCATTGTGAAAAGTGTCACATTTGTTAGCCTTTGGGAAGTTCAGCACTATAAAATCATGAACTGTGCTGCTTCCACAGATACCTGTACAGTGAATGCTCCTTTCAGTGAGCTCCCTCAAGCCCACAGAAATATCTTTGAAAATCATCAAAGAATGACAGAGCAAAATGCTTCCCAAAATTCTGCTGTTTCTACTTGAAGAAGCTAAAAAATATAAGTAATAAATAGGAAGAGGTGAATGACAACCACTGTGGATCTATCAAACTTGGAAGAGTCACTGTAGCCAACTCCTTTGTTGTATGAACATTGCCCCAACCCTGCAACAAGCTATGGTTCCTCTGCTTGATGCCATTGCCTTTAAAGGCTTTTGTTGCCTTGATTTTCTGTAGCAGAAACCATTTAGCATGTCTCTTCCTTTTAAAAAATTGTTTAAACCTCATTCCTCTGTTGCTTTGTGATTGTGAGGTTGATGTTATGAATGAGAATTTTGAGATGATCAGAGGATAATATGACATTATTATGGGGGCATTTTTACAGTGCAGGTTTTTGTTGTTATTTTTACTACTCATACATCTTCTAGAACAGTGTTTCTCAACCAGTGGTACCAGTACCCTTAAGGGTACTTGAGAGAAGTCAAGGGGTACATCAATACAACTGAAATTTGGAGAAAACTGAATTTTTGTTTTAAGTTTTACAGTGCTTTATTATTTTTGTACTTTTTTTACACCCAAAAAATTTCATCACCAGCCTGCCTACGATTAAGTTGTTTAAAGAAATGTGTTGCAATGCTAGAAAAAATGTTGTGTGTCTGAAAACTGTAGGCACTGCGGGTACTTATAATTTTTTTTAAAAGGGGGTACTTTATAAAAAAAAAAGGTTGAGAAACATTGTTCTAGAATATAGATAAAGCATATTTGCCATGCAAGCTTGTGGACTTGCCTTCACACTTAAATGTAATTGGTATTGCACAAACATTTAACTCCTGACTTCACAACAGAAATGGCTCTTATAAACAGAATAATAATGCAGGTTACCCTTAAAACCTGCAACTGAAATAACATAGTGCATGAAGTAAACATACTGTGATATCGTGATTCAGATTACAATGATGGGTGGAAGGACTTAGAACATGTTTCTGTCTAATGGGATATTGCATTTATGGTCTCTGTGAAGAATTCAATACTTTAATAATAAAGATTACAGCAGAATTCTATTGATTTTTTCATATATAGAATATGGGGATTCTATATGTATGAACAGCTAGCTGGCCTTGAACTTTTACTGCTCTTATAAATTGAAGCTCATGTTACATGTCATCAGAAATCTTCTTTAGATTTGCAATAAAACATCAGACTTGAGCCATACCTTTCATGATGCCATAATTTAGATGAGACATAGCTTTATAAAAAGCAAAGATTAAAGTAGCAGACTCATTTGGCCTTGAAACATCCATGGGATCCTCTCATTATAGGCAATTAGTTAGTATAATGTCCATTAGTGCCTGTTAATTCTTTAAAATTCCATCCATAACTAAGCAACAAAAAATTGTCTCCATTTCCCATAGTTAGTTTGCAAGAGAGAGATTAATTAGAGTACACTAAAATTAACTATTAAAAGATAAATCCAGCCCCCATCTCCAGGGATGCTGGAAAAAATTTTTAGTGAGTGGTGCTAAGTGCCACTGTAAACCCTGTATACAATGGAAACTGCTTCAAGTCAGGGGGCACTGCAGCACCCCCCAGGCCTCTAGTTCCAGCATCTATGCAAGCTTCTCTACAATCAGGGAGGGTCTTCTGGCAGTGGAACTGGTGAACTGCAAATCTGAGTGAGAGTTCTGGGGCTCTGCAAAGCTTAACATACTTTGAAACTCATCTCAATTGAAACTCAACTCATCTCCAGCATGCCACCACAAGATCAAATGGGTTTTGGGTCAGGGCTAAAGGATCTACTACTATATAGATCCTCCTGTCTTCTCATCACTGCAGAGGGGAATGACAGAGCTAAGGAAATTCAGATACAGTTTTTACTATTTTTAACCTTTAATTCCAGAATTAAGCTAAATCAATATAAGCCAGGGGCCATCTGGTATAAGTGTGTCCACACAAGGGATTCTACCAGTTTAACTAACTGGGATTCAAACACGATTTTAGTTAAACTAGTGCAACTTTTATTTTGTGGTGTGCCTCCTCTATGGAGCATGGCTTATGTACATATAGTCCCCATGGAATCTGAACATTTTCTCTTCATTATTATGTTAATCTTTCCACACTCAAAAATGAAGTGGGTGAGGAAAGAACTCTGCAGAAAAAAATAAACCAGGGTGTGTCTACATAACACCCTAAACTCGAAATAAGATATACAATTTGCACTACACAAATTGTGTATCTTATCTCGAATCTATTTCAAAATAGCTTTTTTTGAAATTTGGTGCATTTACACAGCACCAAATTTCGAAATAACACACTATTTTGAGTCATACCTTATCCCTCGTGCAACGAGTTTACCGGGATGGAGAAATAGCATGCCCATTATTTCAAAAAATATTTCAAAATAACGGTGGCTTGTGTAGACAGGGGGTAACTATTTCGGGATACATTTGGTACCGTGCAGTGTAGATGTATCCCCAGGGAGAAACACAGTTTCATGCTACTGCTACTGGTTCAGATTATAAGAACATGGAAATGGGAAAAAATTGACTGTGCTTCCTAACTTTCTACAATATTTACTTACTGTTTCCTCTGATATTCCTTGGTATAGGTTGAATCTCTCTAGTTCAGCCTTGGGACCTAACCAGAGCCAAACCAGAGAATTTGCCGGACCATGGGAAGACAATATTGTCTAGCAGCATTACCAACATTTCCACTGCTTATGGCTCTAGAAGATATTTAAGGGTAAAATAGAGCTAGAACTGGTGGTTGTAAACCAACTTTATGGGAGGGTGGGAAACTGCACCACACCCATAATAAGTGGACATCTAGCTAACTAAAATCATGCCAGACCACACATGTTGCCAAACCAGAGAATGCTGGATTATTAGAAGGGTTCAGCCTGTAGTAAATATCTGTGGAGAAGAAAAAACAAAGGTGTGTGAACCCTTTTTATAAGGTGAATAGATATTTTTGGAAAGTTTTTGGCAACATTCACCCAACTATAGTTCTTTCCTGTCTGTCTTCTGCCATTTTGTTTTGTCAAGATAGCACAAGTAAACTTTGGACACTACAGCTCAAATTATGTTACTGTACATGAAAAGTAACTATCTGGAACAGAAGAGAAACTATACTCAGTCTAATAATCATTTCTAGACCATTTCATTAACACCCATCAAAGCAGAATACAGACAATAAAATAATTATGAAGAATAATATACAAATATTTGACAATATTTTATACAATTGATTGGAAAATTGTTCATCTGTATGGAACTACTTACTGGTCCTAGCGCAGCCAAGATAATACACATGAAATTTGCTATCACATCCACCAAAATTCTTGTCCTCTGAAATTTAAAAGCTACTCTACCCAAAGAAGCTTTCTCAGGTCCAACTCTTGCAAGCTCTTCTTCCCAAAGGAGCTGAAATCTGGAGAGAAAAAATATCCCCACATTTTAAGAAGTTGAAGGTTAAATAGCAGAACATAGGATTTCTTCTAACCACAACAGTTTATATATGGAACTGCTACAATGATAAAATTAAAATTCGGTTCCTCATCCTGTCAATCAACAGTTATCAAAATCTAAAACGTATACAATTAACATTTTATAGGTCAACAGTTCATGAAAGGAGATCATTATTCAATGTGATTCCTGTAAGGAAATTATCCCTCTGAAAACATTAAAATTTGCAATCTGAGGACAAATATTTTTCACTGTTTTCATTTAAATGCATGTATACCAAAATGGATTACACTGAAATAGTTTTCAAAATCACAGGAATTAATTGGTTGCTGATAGTACCTGGGGCACTGAACTAATAAATACTACAACCACTACATCAAAGCTATATTGGGTCCTTAATATGTTTTTTCCCATTTCATTTATGTGCAAAATTTACTCAGTATATCAATGAGCTTTGCAATGCATTTAGGCTCATTGCTGTATAATACTGACATTCTGGTCACGATCCAGCAACACGATTAAACGTGTTTAAAGTTAATGTACTTCGCTGCTGTGCTGGATTTGGGCCAGAATGTTCAGCACCAGCCAAGACAGAGCTCTTTGGGTCTGTTTCAAATCCCATTAATGGAAAGATTTTCATGGCCTTCAGTGGCCTTTTGACCTGACCCGGTATTGCCATAGCTGAAGCCTTGTCTGCTGGACAGAAACTAAATTTTGGATAGAGTTCTTGATTTCAACCTGAGTTGCCCCCTACTTTATCTTCTTGCAAAGTGGAATCCAGATATAAGATATGGGTAGAAAGAATAAATGTCAAATCAATAAAGGAAAGAGAAAACTCTCAAGAAGTTTTGTTTCTTGCTCCCTTATCTTTTATCAAAACCAAATCCCAGTCACTTGTTTTCTTCTGTTCCTTTCTCTTTGTCCCTTTTTTAAAATTGTTTTATTGTTTTCTATCTTTAGGATCCTGTCCAGAGTCAGACAATAGAAAACATGCAAAACATTTTGCAGCTAAAACCTGCTGTTCTATATTATAGGCTACACCTCCCTAAACCGGGGCTCTCTGGTCCGGCAACATCCGTGCTCTGGCAGGGCCACAGATGTTCCTAGGCCAGAGAGGCCCCAGTGGCCAGGAATCAGGCAGCAAGAGGGCTGGCTGCTGCAAATCCTTGGGAGCCTAGCAGGGCTAACAGCAGCCTGGCAGGGAAGCTGGGGCTGTGCAAGCAGGGGAGAGCAGCAGCCCGGGGTTGAGTAGCAGCCCAGCAGGGAAGACGGGGTCATGCAGCAGCCTGGCAGGGGGGGCTGCATGAACTAGGAAGCCAGGGCCACGCAGCAGCCTGTCAGGGGACCAGAGCCACGCCTGGTAGGGGAGCCGGAGCCAGTGCCACAACAGTGCAGCAGGGGGACCGGACTGCGCCAGCTTGGGGAAATGGCAGCCAAGCAGAGGAGCTGAGCTGAGGCTACACAGCAGCTCACTGAGTTGGGACCATCGGTAGGCAGCTGGAGCTGTTAGCAGGGTGACCAGCCAGAGCCAAAAGCAGAGCTAGCAGCAGATGAGAATGTTTGCAGCAAGGGACCTCCCCTGGTCCAGCAAATTCTCTTATTCGGGAATGGTCAGGTCCCCAGGGTTCTGGACCAGGGAGGTCCATCCGGTATATTTAGTGTACCTGGGAAGTTTCAAATCATGACTCTCAATAAAGAACAGCACATTAGAAATAATCTTACAATAATTATACCAAAACTGAAATAATCATACCTTCTTGCATTTGGCTCTGAACTATCTAGATATGATAATGGAGGCAAGGTGTCCACATTGATATTGTGTTTATATCCTTTAATCATTAAAGGTGAAAGCCAAGAATATGTAGCAAATGAGAACAGTCCTGCATCATCTATTGGGTTAGGAGAAGTTCTAAGAGGAAAATAAAAGCTACTCATTCAGTATTCAAGTTAATTTCACAGTTGTTTTATTGACCTTACAAATGTTAACTATAGAAAATTATGTTTTCTGAGACATTAAGAAACCTTTTGATACTGTTAGGCAGAGATCATCATGCATCCCTTAGTGGAGTGATAACTAGTATGAGTACACCACCTATTAATTAATGATAGGGTAAGGTCACACTGAGGGAGTGAGAATCAATCTGTAGCTTCCAAAACACGCTGTGTGCTCAGCTTCTGAGCTAAAAATCAGCTTCATTATGTGAAGTCAACTGGCATTTGCTGCATTTAATCAGTATCCTCCTGAGATAATGCTACAGGGTGTATATAGAGCATCAGAGAAGTCACTCATGACAGCTTTCAACAATACTGAAATGTCAGATTCTGTCAGGTTAACTCATCTCAGATTACTCCTAAAAAATTTCTTGGCAGTGTATTATCCCAGTTAACCAACTAAATATAAGTAAGACATAGTTAGTAGTTCATAAAGGCATAGTTAATGCAATTTCAACTACTCGAATACATTTGAAGTAAAAGCTAGAATAATAGTTGGGGAAGTGGGAGGAGCCAGGGCTTCCTGAAAAATAAATTTTAATCTCCATTAGCCCTCAGACTGTGATTTTATTTCTGTAGATTTTCTTTCTACAAGTTATACTAGAAGATTTACCCACCATTGGTTGGGTCCTTAACTCAATTAATTTTGGGGTTTGGGAAAATAAAATGAAAATGTACAAGCTTCGTTTGAATCATTGCTCTAGGGTGTAGCTGGTGGTCCTAGGTCTTACTGTTTAGTTCTTGAAAAAGCAGACAGACAGACAGACTCACAGACAAACTCCCAAATATATAGTAGATTTAAATTATAAATAAAAGTGACTTGCTTTGCTTTGAAGCGGATAGGAATCATGGTTTTTAAACTAGGTTCATATTTGTGGCGAAAGGTCCTTTCATCACCTCGTATATCTAGATCAGGTATCAGATAAGGTGCTGAAGAAATCATTGTGTCGGTTTGCAGGTACCAAGGTTCCGTGTGCTCTGTCAGATTCCTCTTTGAAGGTAAGATTTTAAAAAAGAGCATATGAGAATTAATTATGTTTATTTAAGTAACATTTCCAAATATGTGGTAAATCCCATAACCATTTTCAAACCACTACAATATCTCATCATTGGCGACACGACGACATGGCGACATCCATGGTTATTTATTTGATTCCCTTGCTAACGTATATAAATACACTCCCTCCCTGACTATTCATAATGCTCACATCACCAAGGTAACTCAGTAACCAACACTAGTCAAACCTAGAAGCTGTCCAAAGCCTTTTGCTTTTGCCTTCTGATGTACAGAGAAACCCCCATTAAATGACAATACACTGAACATCTGCAGCTCAGCATCTCTCAAAATCAGGTCATTTATTTTTGGCAGCTACTAAGGATATAGGTGCTCTCAATTTAAGGTACCTATGCTTGAAAATGTAGGCTTAAGAGTTTAATTAAGTTTATGGTTAACATCTCTAACACCGTTGCCTCAGTGACCTCCCTTCACAATGTAGCCTCTTATCCAAACCCCACTGAAGTAAAAAGGTTTTTTTCCCCCTATATTAAGGACACTAGGATTGAGCTCTGGGTCTGTCTTTGTATGTTATATTGCCTAATCTTTTTTTATCATTTTTGTAGCTTCTGGAGTCTCTCTTCAGTCTTTTTTAGTAAAGAGTTTCAAACTGTAAATACTCTGAGTCTGAATATTTTAAAGCTACTTTAAGAGTTGAAGTGAGCATATACCCCAGAATAGCTTTGCTTTTTTATCTCCACCTGTAAAATCTGCAAATTAGTGCTGGATTTTTGAGCCTATTCCTCTCTCTGTATTTAAGATGTCTACTCTGCTGCGTCCAGGGAACATGTCTGCTCTTCTGAAATGTTTAGCAGAAGAGCAAACGTGCTTTTTCAGCATCCCTGTAAAACTCATTTTATGAGGAAGAAGGGATGTTCTGAAAAAGGGGTTTTCCCCCAACATTTGGCCCAATGTCAGAAAAGCCTCTTCAGAAAAAAAGAAATGGAAAAAGCTATTTCACAATTTGTAAAGCTTTTTCCAGAACAACACTGCAGTGTAGACATAGCCTTAATCATCAAACTCCATTTTGTCTTTCTTAATGCTATTATTTTCTGCCCTCTGCCCATGCTCACATAATGCACTTTTCAAACTAAACTCATTCCCATTAATTTCTGTCCAGGTCTCTACTTCTCTCTGGATCATTCTGTAATTCTTTCTAAGGGCATGTTTCCAGATTCTCCTCCAGAATGTTTGTGATATCTGCATATTTGATCAACTTAAAATTCATTTATTCCAATTTTTTAATAAAATATTAGACATAGATCCAATGTTGATGTTATTGATCATTTATTCCAATTTTTTAATAAAATATTAGACAAACATAGATCCAATGTTGATGTTATTGGAATCAGACACCCATCTGATATTTTGCCTTCTTGTAAGGAAAACAAACCATTTGATAGTACATTATTAAAAACTAAAAACATCCTGGGCAGAAAGATTTATCTTAGCAGGAGCCAGATTCTGGTTTCCCTCATTCCATTTTTATACCAGTCTTACCCTGTTGTCTTCATTGGAGTTAGTCTCTATTTATACCTGTGAAACTGGCATCAGCCATTTCTAGAACATGTATAAATGCTGAGAGATGGAAACAGGCATCCTGCTCATTACCATTGTTTCTTCTGTTATTTTTTTAAACCTGTTTGTGCCATTTAATTTATTTGCATGGTCCCCATGGTCCTGCATATAACAGACATGGACACTTTGATTAGAGTATTTTAATTTAAAACAATGTTTTAGCACAGTTCACCTGAAAGGTGATAAGTGCTTGCACAGTTTTTTGGTCATTATAATAGAATCGCTTTTGTAAACATTTCTGTCTCCCTTGTTAAAGGCAATAAACTGCATCTGAAACCCCATAACCATTAGGTTTCCCAGAAAGCAGATTAGACCTTGTAGGACTATATTAACAAAGTGCTTGACACAATACACTGTGCACTGAACACATAACCAAGACAAACATGTTCTTTGGCAAATGGGGATGGAAATGTACAAATAGGACATTTTCTAGCAATGATCTAAAATGCTGAAAAGCGTACATCTTTAGGGGGAAATGGGGGGGAAACTGATTACCATCTGCAGCACTGTTTAGAGATTCAAACCCTGTTACTTTTTATTTCTTGTTACGTTTTGTTCCCATAAATGCACAGAGGGAAACTGGGCAAAATAACTCCCATTATTTGCAATTTTAAAAAATAAACTTACTGCAATTATGTCAACTTAAGATAATGATACTCTGCCCAATATAGCTATTCTGATATACTCAATTGATTTAATAATAAAATTGTGACTGCTGAGAAATCAAGTTGTCATACTTTATCTGAATTTTTAAATGGTGGTCTTTGTAATTCATCTGCAAAACCCATGTCTTGTCAATTCCCTTTAGTCAAATCTCTAAAGGATTCATTTTACTATTTCTTTCTCAGTTTTGTCTTTTATTTTATGTAGATACTAGAAGGCTTACCCAGAATTACTTGGATGCTTTAGGGCAGGGAGCTGGCAGTGGGGTACGGAGAAGAGCAGGAGTTAGGACAGTGCCTTGGGAGTGTGTGTGCAGGGAGGGGGAAGACTGCAGGCAGCTGGAATAATGGGAGGTGCAAGAGTCATTGAGGAGGGGCTCAGGGCAGGGGACTGTGGATGTGGGGTGTGCAAGAGTGAGCGTTAATCTTTATTAGCCATGGGAAAATGATTTATGGCATCTACCCTACAAAAGTTTGTTTGTGTGTGTCTGTATAAACACATACACAATGAATGTTTGTGTGCATCACACATACATTTTAATAGTCTAGGATATGTTGTGAACTACTACAAAAACTTCTAAGTCATCACAAAGTTTCCTTTACTTCATTTATATACTTTAAAGAAGTCAGCATGGAGTAGCAATGTGGTTGCAATTTATGCCTGGCACTGGTTTCTGCTACAGAGATTTCAGACATGGAGGTCATTGGGTACCTGATCTGAATTTTAACAAGAAGGAAATTGGTTCTGGGATCTATGATTTCCTGAGACATGCTCAGAGAACACGCAATTATGATTACTTAATGGCTTCAAGCCAGTAGAGATGGAACATTTTCAGTGCAGTATTTGACAGCATCCTGCCCTCCCGAAAAACCCCAATAATGAAATGGTAATTTGGGTTAATATCTCCATCCAGTCTGTAACATAACCAAAACCCAGTAGTGCTGTATAGTGATATAGCACACGTCCCGCCCACTCACTGTTCAGAGGCAGTAATAGCAAAAAACTTGGTCAATATTAAAAGAATAATTTGCCCAACTCTAAGACAAATGGATTAGGATTATTATTTTATTTAGTCTTTTTGTAGCCCAAGGTCCAGTGTGTTTCAGCAGCAGCCCTGGGAACTACATGTTGTGGACTACAAACTGCGGCATGTTGGGAAAACTTTGTGGTTCCTGCCAGGATGTGCCCTCTGCCCCCAGCAGGGTCTCAGCAAGGACTGTGCTAGAAGCAGCACACAGGCTGCATGCTGAGAGAAGGGGCTGCTGAACTGTTTTCCTCTTCTATGTTTTTTACAGAATAAAGCCTGTTCCTGGTGATTTGTCGGAGTGGGTCTGGTCTGAGGTGCACTCACACATACACAATGCAGAGCACACCAAGCAGCCTCAGGCCTAGCCCCCTCCACAGTGGTGTAAGAAGTCACAAGCTTCCCCTATGATGAATAACCTCACACTGGGCTAGCCAACAGGTGGGGTTACATTTTAAAAAAACAAACAAACTGAATGCTCTGAGTTAGTGTTCTGTACAACAAGTTACATAAGGGTCTCATTAACCAGCAGCAGAGTAATTAAGGGTCATGTATCACATTGGGAAACTTCACTGAACTGTCCCATAGGAAAATTCAAGAGATAGTGCTGGTGCTAGTACTAATTTGTATATTTAATAACCCAAAGGAGAGGGTGGCTAGTACATAAATTATAGGTGATGATACAACATGAAGGGGAGAGGCAAATAATGCAACACAAAGCAAAGATATAACTTGAGTTAAAAATGTTACTGAAGTGGGCAGAAATTAATGAGATTTGGTTCAATGAAGATGAATGCTAAAATGAAAATCCTGACAAGTGTTAAATATCTTTGAGTATTGTGGGCCACAGTGGAAATTGCAGGTGTTTAGCAAAGGAACAACACCTTTTAGGATTTGGCCACTTTTATTTAAAAAAAAAATAAAAACCTAAGTATAAAATGCCTGTGCAACAATGAATATGGAAGAATGCTAGTTAGACAACATACTTAAGACAAATATTTGGGCAAAGTAATAGCCAGTAAATTGAATGTTACTCTACAGTGAAATACAATTGCAGAGAAAACACAGCCTGTGTCAGAGGAGGTATTTCATATGAGATGACGCAGATGCAGCAGTACTACATAATATCTTTTACAGAGCCATCTGGCCCGGATCCCCTTCTTTACTTTAGGCTCTTTAACTGTTTGAATCTGTGAATCAGAATAGGTTGAACACTATTGGCTTCTGTTTAGACCCTCTTTATTCTGTAGCCCCAGTCTTTTTCCTAAACTTCACATCTAAGGGAAAACATTTTTAAATAAGTTGTTACATTTTTCAAAGTAAAGAGAACAAAGAACTCTGTGTCCAGTGCAACAACCTCCCCTTTCCCTCTAGCTAGCTACCCCCCAGCTTTGCCACACTTTCCTTTATAGCACTATAGTTATCTCTACTTGTTCCATATAGCCTCTCGAGACCTCGAACCCTGAGCATCCACAACTCCAGCTGATGTCAGTGGGAAAGGCAAGTGCTCAGAAAATTAAGAATTAAGGTCAAGTTGGGCATCTAGGAATGGCACTTATCTGTCTCCTGGGGCTCTTTCCTGTTCCTTCCCTTCTGATTTTGTGTCTCGAATCTCTTCTTTATATTTTCTCTGTTACACTATTTTTCCTTCAGCTCATTTTCAACCTCACTTGTTTCTCTCTACATTTAAGGAAATCTTGTCTCTGTCATTACTATTACACAGACCTCTCTCACTCTCCAACTGCCCAGTCCAACTGACGCTTGCAGCCTTCAGGGAACTTTCTGGTGCCAAGGTTCCTTCCCCCGTTCTGTGAGGGAAACTCCACTCCAAACATTCTGCCTGAAGCGAAAGCTAGAAGGTGTCCAGTGAGAATGTTTAAACTTTTCATGCATAAAGAGCAAATTAACTCCACTATAGACCTGCTTTGGGTAGACCAGCAACAAAGCTCCTCACTGCAGTATCCTTTTGGGGACTGTGGTGTTGGGGCTAGCCACACCTATATGGAATCCTGTTTCAGAGCCACCACACGGAAAGGTATTTCTTTTATAGGCCTCCTGTGAGATTTGATAGCATGGGGATTCAGTCCTACTCTGAGGAGTGGGGGGGGGGGCATCAGGGGAGACATCCTGCCCCCTTGGTGTCCTTTTGTTGCCAGCCATGAGGACAAGAAGCAGTCTATAAGGGACGTAAACTGTAGAATGAGCTAGTTTCGTAGTACAGGTTGTACCTCCCTTAGCCGGCAGGGGGTGGGAGGGACGCGGAGACTCAGCCAGGAGCTAGGGGGCAGGGAGTGGAGGGGCAAGCAGCGTATCAGGGAGCTCTGGCAGGGAGTGGAGTCCCAGCAGCAGCCACGGAGCTCCCGTCCCAGCCACAGAGCTCCAGCAGTCAGGCCTGGCCAAAGAGTTTGCGGGGCCCACAACGGCGTGCTGTGATTGGTTGCATCATGAAAGTGGGTGGCTCCGAGCCAGGTAGGTGGGCACCGGGCAGCGTGGGGCCCTGAAGGAATGTGGGGCAGGATCAGGAGGGGGCCTACACACTCAGTTGGGAGCCAGAGGGCAAGGCAGAGAGGCATGGACGGTGCATCAGGGCGCTCTGGCCCCTCTGTTGTAGACAGTTGAGAGACCCAGGGCGCTCTGTCCCTGGCTGCAGAGCTCCAGCCCCAGCCAGGTAGGCAGCAGCAGGGCTAGACTGGAGCCATAGCTGGGGACAGCAGGACAGCATGGGCCATTTGGGAGGAACCTCCCCTGGTCTGGCAAATTCCCTTGTTTGAACCAGTGAGGTACCAAGGGTGCCGGTGAAGGGAGGTCCAACCTGTACAATATTAAGCATTTTTAAGTGCACCCATCCTGTATTCCTTACCAAGGCAATCCAGAGCTTTGCCTGAATGTGAGGTGCAAGATTAGGCCCTAAGATTATCTTCCATCCCCGCCTGTAACCTTTCTTAAAAGTCTTAAACTGGAACTATTTTAGACCATTAATATTCCATATTTACTTTGTAGATAAGCAAATCTTCAGATGATCTACATAAAAGAGAAGAGATCCTGCCAACGTAAAGTGGCACCGAAAGCTCCTTTTGTAATTTCTTCAGATTTGGTGAGAGGATAATAGAATTTTAGGCCACTATACATGGCTATGATGTAGTTTAACTCAAGAAATTGTTACTTACATATGTCAGGCCAGTAACTCCATTACTTTCTATATTCTTCTCCTTGGTTGAATTATTGTTGGAAGCATACAGATATTTACTCTTCTTAGTTGGCATTTTGTGTAACCACCTGAACTCTTTCTTTTCTAAAATGGAGAAAAAAATAAAACAAACATTACAAAACTACCCCAAAGATAAGTGAGCCTGGAGCCTTTTCTACTACCACAACTTTCTTCTTCAGTTAAACTGTGCATGGGCCACAGCAGCATGCAGTGATTATCTGCTGTGATCAAAGGAAACTCCTGGCCCCAAGTTTTGCATCTGGTCAGGTTGCTCTTTCTCTTGTGCTGCCAATTCTCACTCTCGTCTTTTCACAATGGCCCCTCTTTCATATTTGACTGGAGAGATTAAAATCTGAAGTTCATTAGCAAATATTCCTAGAATATTGCACAATGCAATTACTGTGAAAGAATCCCCCCATTACACACACACACACACACACACTTACTGTGAAAGAATCCCCCCATTACTCTCTCTCTCTCTCTCTCTCACTCTCTCTCTCTCTCTCTCTCTCACACACACACTCACACACACACACACACACACACACACACACACACACCAGAAAATCTCTGTAAAGTTTTAAAAACTTTTTTTTTTGTCAAGAATGGATTGCCAGCAATTCTTGGCAGGCATTGCATGTACTGAGCTTATACAACCTACTGGCAGTATTTCAATCAAGCCAGAGATATCAAAACACAGAGATCTTTTGGGTGAAGACAGAGGAATGATTGTGGGCATTTAACACAGAGGCTGCATGTGAAAAGCAGCTTTTGAGATTTCCAGTGCAATCTTCTAGAATGAGAGACACTTCATCCCCTTCCCCGAACATTGTCACCCTCCCAGAGCCAGCATCCATCCCCCTCTTACATCTGCACCCCCTTCGAAATTCCAGACCCCAACCCTAGCCCAGTAACAGTGAGTGAGGGTGGGGGAAAGTGAGCGACTGAGGGTATGTCTACACTGCAAAGTTAATTCAAACTAACAGACGTTAGTTCGAATTAACTTTGATAGGCGCTACACATACAAACCGCTAGTTCGAACTTAATTCGAACTAGCAGAGCGCTTAATTCGAACTAGGTAAACCTCATTCTACGAGGACTAACGCCTAGTTCGAATTAGCTAGTTCGAATTAAGGGCTGTGTAGCCACTTAATTCGAACTA